GTAACCCGCCTTCCTGGGTAACCCGCCTTCCTGGGTAACCCGCCTTCCTTCGTTAGTTGGTAGTGCTGAAAAGGAAGCAAGCTATCTTAGACCAGGTCACGCTAGATGTTAAAGATAGGCGGTAGTGATTGCTTATATGCCCACTCCCTCTCCAATAGAGCCTCAAGCTTTGATGATCCACAGTCGGTAATGTCGCGGTTAAATGAGATCGCTATGTCGGTTGGCATGTCCATAAATTCCGAAAAGACGAACTTATTCTCGAGCTGCATCCCTGACCAGGGGAAGGCACCCCTGCGGATTAATGGCCGTCAACTTGAAGAAGTAGACAGATTTAAATACCTTGGGGCGAAGCTGCTACCAAATGCGCAGAGCAAGGACGACATTGTCTCCCGTATTGATGCTGCTCGGTGGGTTTTCTCAATCCTTCGAAAGCGACTATGGATCCGACGTGACATCTTCACTGCCACGAAGATTCGTGTATATCGTGCATCCATCCGGTCAGTGCTCGATGGATGTGAAGCTGGGGCTATGCGTCCTCTATGGATGTGAATGCTGGGCTGTGCGGGCTGAAGATGAGCGAAGACTAGGAAGTCTTTGACCACCAGTGCCCGAGACGATCCTGCAAGTTAAGTATAGCGACTTCATCTCAAATGAGACAGTCCGCACCCGCTACGATCGTATCGCGAGGATATCTCAGGCATTCAAGAAAGGTGACTGAAGTGGTTTGGACATGTTCTCCGTCGTCCGCCCCACGAGCTTAACTATGCTGCCCTCCACTCGGCGCCGCAGCCCACTTGGAAGCGTCGAAGAGGAGGCCAACTGAAGACTTGGCTCGAGACCGTCAATCAAGACATGAAAGCAGTCCTTGGACCTCCTATCTTCGGTCTCAGTTGCTGGAGAAGGGACTGGGTGGAGCTTTCGAGATCCGCTGCCGCCAATCGTCACGCATGGAGAGGTACCGTTCGTAACATCATTGAGGCCGGCTAGATCAGGCATGATCACAGCCGTCACAAGTACAAGTAAGTACACTCCCTCTCCAATAGGACGCGAGAAGCATTTAAATGGCCTCGAAGAGAAGCAACGTTGGCACTGTCAACCATTGAATTTCAGGCCAGGCATCCAACTTCATCAGCCACGCCTGCCATCGCCTACGGCCTAAAATGTTCTTTAAAATATGCGCCTTTAAGGTTGCCTCTTCTCCGGGGTTCCCAACCATCAGCCCGATAGACGCAATGAGGTGGAGAAATTTCTTACCTTCGTAGGACTCACCCCATTTTGCTGAAGCGGCGTCATCTACTAAGATACGTCCGACTATACTCTCCAACTCCTCGCTAAAGGCATCTTTCGATCTATTTTCAACGTTCGTTATCAGCTCTGCATTTACGTAATCCTGGCGCTGATAGCAAACTGCAAACACACACAAATGTGACCCCGCAACCATCGGCAAATTTCACTCATTCCCCATTGCCTTTGGTTTCTTACGCGGGCCATGACACTTTATCTCATTAAATAGATACCTTTTATCCAGGCGTTGATTGCCTCAATCACAGGATTGATGTTCCCTGCGGCCTATGTCGTCAATACTAGTTCAGGACTTTGTTTCTTCCCCCTCTGCAGCTTCTCTCAAACGCCACCTTCTGCCTCCTCGTGACCGGACTGGACACCCAGTTGCTCAACACTCATGGGCTCCTGTCCCAACTCACTACCTGTCTTGTCTCGGCTGCGATACCTGTCTTCCTGACTAACGAACCCCTGCTCTCGCCCAGCACGGCTTTACCCTTCTGGGAAGTACTAGGCTTGCACTGGCGCCGAACTGTTCTCTTTCTTCCCGCTGCCCGCATGCCTCACTTACCTGAACTTCTGGACGCCGTGGATGAAGCCACCCTCATCAAAATGCGCGCCCAGGTTCGGTCTTTATACCAGTCATTTGTCTCGTCTGTGGATCCCTATTATTTGGTGGATATGAGAATATTATTTGCTAGAATCCTACTTTGGATCCCAGATCAGCACACATAAGCCCCATCCTTCTGTAATAAAGGACCGGGTGTAATAAAGTGTACGCAGTCTGAATAATACAAAGGAAGGGAAATATAAATAAAAAATAAGGCTTATAGAAGTAGAAAAAAACAGGAATACTTACTTAAATAGCCTAATATTTGTCAGCGAAACAGTGCACTATGATTAAAACGTGCATATGTACAAATAGTGGGAAGTAATAAAATTAAAAAAATTACTCAATAAAACTAAAATCAACTAACTCAAAAAACTTAAGCTAGACTCACTTAACTAAAAAAATAGTATAAAACTAAGATGAAAATAGTAAGCATATTAATGAACTGGAAACTAAACTTAAATAGCTTAACGAAATAAAGTAACCTAGCGTAAAGTTGTTGCGCATGTCAATTGAAAGTGTGTGCGACGCTTCGCGCTGTGAACTATACTAATATAACTGCAGAATGGTTACTTGGACCTCAGGTAAGTTGAAGTGGACGACCACCTAACCACCAAATGTTTTTCAGGAATATAAAAAAACGTAAAAAATGTCCAAATTCGGCACACCCAATAAACTATAAGTAAGTAAGAAATGTAAGTAAATTTCTGCGTTTATGACGCGCTATTTTGTTGTGAAAGCATTAGACTATTTAAACACTTTCTGGGACCTAAAGTAGAACTCCACCAGTTATTCTTGCTGTTTGCTTAAATGTGTTCTGGTCTTTGTTTTCAATGGCTAAGAATTCTTTTTGTGATCTGAGCTATCTAAATGCGGAACTCAGTCTGACAGACAACTTTTATCCTGGAATCGAATTGAACAGCCGGCTTCTCGAATCTGCATTGAGTGATCTGTCACCAGCAGATAAAGCCGTCTATGTATTCCTTTCCCGTTTTACTGTAAATGACACAGAACCTTATGTCCATTTTCAAATTAGGAAAGCTTACTGTTAAAAACAAAGAGAAATCACTTAAAAGAGAATCGCGTAAGTTACTGATGCTGCTACAAACTACACCGTGTGTTAATATTTGCAATGACACGGTTGCGACATCTGTTGCCCTTGGAATTGTTTCTAGGCAATTTTAAGACTCCAGGTAGAGTAGTTGATTGTCTTATGGAATCGAGATGTAATGGGGTCTTAAAAAGGTGATCAAATTACTGATCTCGAATTGTCCACAACAGAAGGCTGCACGCTGGTGTTGCACGACATGATGCTGGGTTTGAGTTTGACTCTGAAATGGGAAGCGAGTATAACTATGTTTCCAACTTTCTCATCTTTCCTCCTCTTCGGCACCAAAGTGGTGATCATTGTCTCTAGTGGGGGTGTATACCAATCAAAGCACTGTTCGCTTTCCATTGAATGCAGAGGAAGAAGAAACTAAGTGGCCCCCTGCAGTCGAAGATACAGAGAGACAAGTTGTGAGGCCTCAACCCGTGTGGCCGGCAGACCTGTATTAGCAACCGGCCCATAGAATGCCATAAAAAACATTGTTATTTTGATTCATTCTTGTGGGATAATTGGTCCGTAACAAGACTGTCTATAGAGGGTGGCACAGGCCTGTCTGCGGTGTCAATGTCGACATCTGCTAATTGCCGCAGGATGTCCTCAGATATCTCTTACTTACAACCGAGCAATGGATTTCTGGGTCATCCCTGCACGCTGGCCTACAATTCTCACAGTTGAGGCCGTTCTTCACTTCGTTCGTTTGAGATTGTCATCGGATTTGAATAAGTGGTTTACGTGTTCCAACGTGTCTGCAGGCAAAATCTCATTTCTTTTGTACGTAAAAAGCACAGTGAAAGGTGTCCTGACTTCGGTTTTTTAGGTGGACGACAAGATGGCCCCAGCGGTTGTGGTAAGGCTTCCATCACTCTGTCCCCACACGCCTGTCACTAAATGGCCGGCATTCTTCAGTGATTTCTCTGTGTGCTGACTCTATCGATTTAAAAAAAAACAGTATTTAACACTTGCTGCAGGTATTTGAACCACTTTTCTTCTATTAGATGACGAAGATGCCGTCAGCGTAGCGAAATGAAATTAGGGTCCAATTTGCCGCTGCAACATAATGTTTGCCACGGAGGCCTTCTATTCGGGTTTTGGCTAACATTTGTCTCGTTTACATGATATATTGACCCTTGGATGACTGTCAGGTCCTGCGACTGAGTTTTAACTTCAGATTTGGACGACTAGTTCCTTTTTCTATCTTCAGACCTCCACTGAGACGCACGTTTTACTTTTGGCTGTCAGTTAGAGGTCATATTGTGCATGTAAGGCTAGAAGTTCGGAGCCTGGCTTAATTTTTACTTCATTATCTTACCACAAAATGTTTTTTTTCCCGACAATCTATATAAGTGAAAAAAAACACTGTTTGTCTTCAAGCAGTTTAAAAATGCTAATCCACTTCCGTCCCCACCCCCTGTTCTTCCCTTGAAGGGCCAGATAATTTGGAACAAGTATCTGTCAACCAAGCAGTCCCAGCTCGCAACTATCTTCCTGACTCTGAGCCGTCGCCTTGGCCTAAGACAGCCGCCTGTACCGCTCCGTCCCGCCGAGCCGGCTCTCATACTTCCGCTTGGTAATGCCTCTTCGCAGACAGCCAAAACCCTCACCTTCTACCCCTCCTACTTCTACGAGCCCCGGCCCAGCGTACTGGTTCAGATGGACGTAGACG